AACATTCACTTTGGGTTGAGTTGGAATCAAGTTGGGGAGAACGGAAAAAGTCGAAAAAAATGAAAAAAATTGTGAAAATCTTTCAAGCAAGTACGTGTATAAAAGGTGTGAATGAAGATTTGATGAAAAGAGAAAATTGCTTAAAAGAGAGAAAAAAAGAGAAGTATGCTTGCTTGAATGAAAGAAAAAGAAAATAATTGTGCAAGGGAGCTTGTGAGGGTTTTGCATTTGAAAGAATTTGGTGAATGAAGTGGTGATGTTGTAAATACTTGTATAGTGAGTGTTCTTGAGCATCAGCGATTTCGTTTCAATGGCCTTATAAATGACCCTTTGTTGTTAACCCGACCAAGCTACAACCCTTTAAGTCCTATGTGATCTTTCACTTCCATAATTTTGTTGTGATCATTTAGATATTTTATGAATTATTTAGTATTGCATTGTTTGTCATTTGAGTGAATTTTTGTCCCGTGCTTGCATGCACATTTTACTTCAATCCTTTTTCGAAGTGGAATGTTAGAATGACATGTCGTGAAATTTAGTTGTTTCTTGAAGCATTGTTTTAATTTGTTTTTAGAATCAAGTTCTTGTACATTGTCTATTGTGGGATTGTGTAACTTTTTTCCTTGTTGCACTTGTTGTGTATTTGAGCCGGATATTTTCACTTGGATTGAGTTGGTTCTTGAGCAAATCCTCCTTTTGTTTTGAGAGGCATACTTTGCTTGAGGACATGCAAATAAGTTAGTTTGGGAGAGTTGTTAGATCCCAATTATAGTATATATTTGATCTATATTAGTAGTATTTTTACTTGCTTTTATCTATTAGTGTGTGAATTAGTAGATTGATTTGCTTAGTTTCATTTTGTTTTGGTCCAAGTGAATGGTGCTTGTAATGTTGCTGTTAGTGTGCAGGATTGACACTAGTTGGAGTGTTAGAGCACCTTGGAAAAGATGAGACAAAGCTGCTGGATATCAGAACATTCGCCTGGTGAAGCTCAGCGAATGCTTGCCTGGCGAGTGCTAGCGAGCCAGGGAGAGTAATTCAAATTAAACTCCCAGACCAAAATGGCATGAAGTTCTCCTGGCGAATGGTTCCAGCGAAGCTTCGCTACCATTCGCCTAGCGAAGGAGTTGGCGAAGGATCCTTGGATATTCCAGTAGCAAACCAACATAAACTTCGCCTGGCAAGTTTGCTTGCTGGAGGCACTTTGAAGTGCCTTGTTTCATTTAGTTCGCCTGGCAAAGGCCCCTGTTCGCCTGGAGAATGGGGGAAAGCATAGCATCTTTTGTACTTTATTTAGTGCTTTATAGGGATCATAACTTACTATCTTTCATAATATCATCTTGTAACATTTTAACCTAGTTCTAGAACTCCTAAAAACAATAGTTTTTCTTGCTTTTGCTCAGTGTGTAATCAAGAGAAGTGGAATCACATCCTTCTTCGATTCTTCGACGCGAATCTACTTTCATCTTCTCCATTTTCTTCTTGTTCAAGCTCCCATGAAAATGAGTAGCTAAGTCTTTCATTTTGTCAAGGTTAGATGTAGATGATCATAAGCTTTGTGTGTATATGGGTTGATCTTCATTTGTAAACTCTTTGATGATGAATGTATGATGAAAACCTTGTTTTATTGATAACTCTTTGTGTTGTTTTATTATTGAAAGGTGTTTTCCAACTCTTTACCTAGGTTTTCATCCATCTATGTTCTTGAGCTAGAGATAGTTTTGAATGTGTTTGTTCACTAAAATGTCAAACCTAAAAGTTGTCATTTTGATAGATTGTGTAAGAAATCAACAATGGATCAAAATGGGAAAAACCACAATGTGTGTTAGAAATAATCACATTGGGAGGATATTGTGAATGTGTTTATCATCTAATGGAGTTTATGAGTTTTGTTTGATCGAACATATGCATGCAAAGTGATCGTCGAACCCTAACTTTGACAATCTTTCTCAAATCGTAAAACCAAAACTTTTACCGCAATTTCTTACTTTTTATGCAAGCTACCGTAACCAAAAACCAAAACCCCCTTGTTACTATAAGTTAAGAACTTAACAAATGTCGAACGACGGCAATATCACATAATCCCTGAGGACAATAACAAATCCCGATACTCTATCCCTGTACCAACATCAAGTGGATTTCGGGTCAAGTTTACTGCATTGAGGATCAAGATTATGGATAAAGGTTGTGCATCCAAATATTTTCAAAGGAATAGATGTAAGGATACGATTGGTTGGGTATAAGATTTGGAGAGTGGAGTAAGGCATATGAAAGTTAAGGATCTGGGAAGGCATTTTGTTTATTAGATAGGTTGCGGAGAGGACAGCTTCTCCCTAAAACTGGTTAGGTACATTTGTAGCTAGCATGAGAGATCGGGTCACTTCTAGGAGGTGTCTATTCTTTCTCTCGGCAACCCCGTTCTGCTGAGGTGTATCCACACATGAGGTTTGATGTATTATTCCATGTTGCATAAAGTATGAGCTTAGTGCAGAATTATAGTACTCGCGACCATTATCACTCATAAGCACTCTAATTTTGCTTTGAAATTGTGTTCGCACCATGGTATGGAAACATTCAAATATCCTACCAACTTCCGATTTGTCTTTCATAAGGTAGAGTTAAGTGATCCGTGTGTGATCATCAATAAAGGTGACAAACCATCTTGATTCAGTTACATTTCTGACCCGTGATGGTCCTCATACATCGCTATGAATAAGATAAAAAGGTTGGGAGGGTTTATAGGGTTTAGGTGGGTGGGGTTGCGTGTATGTTTGGACAATTGACAAATTTCACATTGAAACAACTTCTGATTTTTATTGAATAATTTAGGAAGCATTTCTTTCATGTACATAAAATTTGGGTCGCCTAGTTTATAGTGCTACAACATTGCAGAATTTTCACTACATGCAGAAACTACAGTGCAAGAGGTTGCCTCAGATTCTGGTTTAGATGCTTCAGCCTGAAGGATATAGAGTCCAGCACATTCTTTAGCATTGCCAATCGTCCTCCTCGACTCCAAAATCTGAAATTCACACAGGTTAGGAAAGAATTTAGTGATGCACTTCAAATCCTTTGTAATTTTACTGATGGACAGCAAGTTACAGTCAAGTTTAGGCACATAAAGTACTGAACTAAGAGTGATATTTTGTGAAATAATGACTGAACCTTTACCCATGACCTTAAAAAGGGTACCATCAGCAATTCGAACAGTCGAATCATTTTGACATGGAGAAAAGCTATCAAAGATATTCAAATCTCCAGTCATGTGATCAGATGCTCCTGAGTCAATAATCCATGAATTTTGTTTTCCCCTGCTAGTGTTTAGAGCATGCAAAAATTTACCTTTTTGTGCCATAGTAGTTGTACCAATTGTTTGTTGAAGCATTTTTTGTAAGGCTTCCATTTGCTCCTTGTTGAATGGTGATGAGTGAGAATTTACCTCAGCTGTGTTCCCTCTGTTGTCCCGGTTTTTGGTCCATGACGGCTTTCCATGAATGATCTAGCATGTGTCCTTGGTATGACCCGATTTCTTGCAATGGTCACACCAAGGCCGAGTTTTTTTTTGGAAAGAACGTTGGTCTCCCCTTGCTGCCATTGCAGATCCTCCTATACATGAGGCTGCACTGGATTTTCCAAGCATCACTTTTCTCCTGCCCTCCTCTCTTCGTATTTCCGAAAATGCTTCTCGAATTTTTTGGAAGAGGTTTGGTTCCAAGGATTCTCCCACGAACTTCATCAAGTTCTGTGTTCAAACCTAATAGAAATTTGTAGACTCTATCTTTTTCCACCAATTCTTTGTACTTCTTTTTATCATCTGTGCAGCTCCATTCAACTTCATCATGTACATCTAATTGCTGCCAGTGACGATTGAGAGTATTAAAATACTCTGTGACTGAACGGTCATCTTGATGCAAATCATGGAGTATGCTCTTTATTTCAAAGATTGCAGATGTATTGTCGACATTAGAGTAAGTTTCCTTTACGACATCCCACATCTCTTTAGCAGTGTCATAGTACATGGAATTTTCTCCAATTTCATTTGTCATGGTGTTTAGTAGCCATGACATTACTAGATTATTTTCTAATTGCCATTTTTCGATGTTGGAATCCCCCTTTTTTGGACACTTGGAGTCTCCTGTGATATAACCTTCCTTCCCTTTTCCTTGAAGGTAGATTTTGATCGAGCGCACCCATTGATTGTAATTCTGGCCATTCAATTTGTGACCAGTGATAGGAAGAGCATGTCCTTCAGCCAAACTGTTGGTTGAATTTTCTGCTTTAGCATCTGCCATGGGTGATGCTCAAGGTTTAGGGATGATTCAGATCTTGTGCTCTGATACCATATAGAAGAAATATGTTGTATATTTCACTGTGATTGGAACTTTTACATTGTGAGATATAAATAGAATACATAAGCTGTACACTAATTTGTTAATAAACAGAGAAATAATTTCCTATAATTGTTGCTACCTAAATAAGAAAATAACAACTACCTAAATAAGAAAATAAAATAATAGATAATAAATCTATTTACACTATTGTCTTGTAGCATCTTGACAAATCATAATCAAATGATTATGATTTGATATGTGCTAATCTTCAACACTATAATATTATGATCTTAGCTATATACTATATCCATTATCATGAAATCCATTTCAATTTAGAATATAAATTAATTATTATTTTGCTTTCAATTGTACCTTTTAATAATTAATATTTTCATCATTCTCAAATAGTTGACAAGAAATATGACAAAAATAATGTCTCTTTAAATTTTACTTTTGGTTCTAAAGAGGAAAAAACAAATTGATTATGTTTTTCTGATCGTGCGCATTCGAGCAAGAGTTGGGTTTTTACTATTCTGCGAACTAGGGTTTCTGATTTTCTAATTTTCTAATTTGTAATTATCTCTTCCATCTACACCATAACAATTCACTAGCAGATCCATCAACTTCACCATCACCGTCTTCTTCGGCTCCCTCTTTCAATCTCTCGCCATGACAGACGGCTTCTGGAATCGACAACAGCCACTTCTCCCTTCTCCCGGCTTGCTCAAAAGGCCCCGCACAGAATATGGTTAGCGCTAATCCCTTTTGCTGCATTTTGTTTTTCGGAAATTTAAGTCTTTTCAATATTCCGCATTTCAATGTTAGGTCTTTGTAATTTGTTTGTTAGCGAACTTCATTGATACGGGATTTATAGAAATGATAGTGGGCATCAAAGATTTTGAATTAGTCATAACTCTGTGGAACCTGTTTCGTCAATAGCCCTGATTGCGGAAGTAGTTGTTTGTTCGAATTCTGCTAGATTATAGTGCTATTAGCAGCTATTTGACATCACTTTATACTCAATGGTGTTATGAAACCTTAAAACGTGCTCAATGACTGTTCTAGTTTTAAGGACATTGGTTAGGAATAAAATTCAGATTCTTAACAGTTCTTTATATCAGTTAAACTGACTACACTGAGTGTTACTTATGCCACTCGCTGTCAGTCTGAAATAGTTTCCCCTTTTCTTTTGTAGCTTTAGTAGAATAGGCATGGTCTATGACAAGATTTACAAAGTCAATTAGTCCATGTAGCCCATCTTACCTAGTGAGAAAAATTGTTTCCGTCGTAGTGTTATGTTTAGAGAAAACAGAACAACCATTGGGATGTGAAATGATGTGAATATTCTACTAGCCTTTTGTAATATAACAGTACAATCAGAGAAAAATGGAATTATTGCATGAATTTGGCTCTGCCTATTGAAGAATGAAAGTACAGGAAATATAACAAAAAGCTAACAGTTCAGAGGGAGAAGAGATCCAATTTCCACTCATAAAATTCCCCCTTCCCATTAGCAATCATTCCCCTATTTAACATAGTCCTCAGTAAACTTTCTGTTAGGAGTTCTGTTTCTCACACCACACGTATTGGTTTCTTGATGTGTATCTTGTGCCACATGTCCACTTGCATCATGTGAATTTATTATTCCATTTGCCTCCGTGTCCCCACTCATAACATTACTCCCTCCATTAAAATTAGCCTTGTCCTCAAGGTTAAAGTTGGGGTAATTGGCTGAGAATTTAGTCCATTTTTCCCAAGTAGCTTCTGATGCAGGTAAGTGAAGCCACTGAACAAGAACTTGGGATACTTCTTTGCCATGTTGCAGCAGTATTCGAGAATCAAATATGATATCCAGAATTAAACTAGGACCAGTGTCAGAAGTGAGTAAGGGAAGTGGAAAGTATTGAGTTGAATGATCGCCCTTGCATAATTTTAAGCAGATAATGTGGAAGACAAATTTTGGCAGAAGAGGTGGTAAAACCGTGTATGCCACAGTTCCTATCTTTTCAATGATAGGGAAAGGACCAAAATAGCGGAGGGCTAAGTGTTATCAAATTGTGGCGCCATGGCCGCTATGGTGGATATACAACACAGTTATTGGGCTTGCTGCAATGATAAACATTGGCCGATATTGTGGGTTTTTCTGCCATAATCTGCTATAGCGGCGCCGCTAAGCGGCCAATATGGTGGGATTTTGGCTCTCCGCCATGGACAACAATGGGCCAACTTCTGGTTTTGGTGTATGAACACAAAATGTTGCCACTATAGTAGGAGTTTAACCAAGACCATATCACGGTCATGGCTTCGAGGGAAACCATGTAATTTAACAATATGGAGGAAGGATTCAACTACTTTCAGACTTGTAAAATCGGCTTTCAAGGGTGCAAAGTGGCTATATTTGGGATGATTTATCGACAACCACCATGAAAACTGTAAGGCCATTGGATAAAGGAAGGCCTGTGATAATATCCATAGAGACAACCTCCCAAATTTGTGAGGGAATAGGTAAAGGCTGAAGCAAACCAACAGTGGCAGTATTGGATGCTTTAGCTTGTTAGCAGATTAGGCACTGAGACACAAATAGTTTTATGTCCTTAGACATAGATGGCCACATGAATTGAGATGTGACCCTAGCTTTTGTAGGCCCGATTCCAGCACGCCCCCTAACAAAGAAGAATGTAATTTTTCTATAATTGCTTGAATCCTGCTTGGAATTGCAGGGACAACCACTTTATTCTAGTGGTATAGAATGTTGTTTTTCACCTGATAGAGAGGATCTGAACAGGACCCTTGAAGGCACTGTAATTTAATTTGATGCAATGTAGGATCAGTGTAATTTAATTTGATGCAATGTAGGATTGGCAACTATTGCAGCAGTGATAAGGGCCAAAACTGGGTTGACAGGGCCTGAAAAAGCTAAGAAAATTGATAGGGCCTGAAAAAGCTAAGAAAATTGATCTGGACAACACATCAGCAAAGCAACTTTGTTATCCTTGCCAGGCTTGTATTCTATAGAGAAATCAAATCCTAGAAATTTGGGGAGCCACTTTTGTTGTTCCGGTATCTAAATAGTTTGGTCAGTGAGAGCCTTCAAACTCTTTTGGTCGTTCGAATAATGAATTTTGACCCAAAATATAATGCTTGAGTTTGGACATAGCCTCAGTAACTGCATACAATTCCCTAACATATTAGATTTGTGTTGCATAGAGTTGTTAAGTATATTAAAAAAGTAAGCAATCGGGTGTTTATCTTGACTAAGAATGGCACCAATTCCTGTCCCAGAAACATCTGGTTACAAAATGAAAAACTTAGAGAAATTTGGCAATGCCAACACAGGGGCAGCCGTTATAGCCTGCTTAAGAGCAGTGAAAGCTTCAGTGCTAAGTTGGTCCAATCAAAGGCATCTTTCTTTAATTAAGCAGTTAAGGGCGCATCAATTGTATCATAATTTCGGATAAAACTCCTATAGTATCCAAAAAGCCCTAAATATCCTATTAATTGTTTGAGGTTTTGGGGGAGAGGCCAATCAATTACAACTTGGATTTTGGACGTGTCCATGTGTACACCTTGGTGTGACATCATATGCCCCAAGTAATCCACTGTGGTAAAACCAAAACAACACTTGGGTAGTTTATCATAAAGAGAGAGGTGACATGTCAATTTCAAAACTTCAATCAAGTGTAGCAAGTGAGCAGACCATATAGGGCTATAAACTAAGATATCATCAAAGAACACCCAAACTGACCTTCAAAGTTGTGCTTAGAAAACATGATTCATGAGATTTTGGAATGAAGCTGCTGTGTTAGAAGGCCAAATGGCATCACAAGCGAATCATAAAGACCCCCGTGTGTTCTGAAAGCTGTCTTTTGTGTGTCTTCTGGTTTGACAAGTATTTGATGATATCCCGAGCGAAGGTTCAGTTTAGAGAAATAGTGTGCACCATGCAACACATCCAAGAGTTCATCCATTGTAGGGAGGGATAGGGAAATTGTCTTTGATTGTAATAGAGTTCAAGGCTCTACAATCCATGCAAAAGTGCCTTGAACCATCCTTCTTTTTTACTAGCAATATCGGTGAAGTGAAGGGATTGTTGCTAGGTTGAATGATGCCTTGGCTAAGCATCTCTAACACCATTGTTTCAATCTGTGCTTTCTGACTATGTGGATAACAATAGGGTCTCACCTTGACTGGATTACTCCCTTCTACCAAGGGAATGGCATGGTCTTGGAATCTATCAGGAGGTAACCCCTTAAGCGAAGCAAAAATATCAGTGAAATTGGTGCATAAAGCTACTAAATCATGGTGCTGAGGTGTTGCCGATGTTCCTTCAGTAGGTACCACTTGATGAAATTGTAGAGTAAAAAGCTCAGCGATAGAATGAGTACTTTGAGCCTTTTGATGTGATGAAATTGTGTCTGAGTGGGTCCTCGGTGCTTATCACCCTAGAGAGTAATAAAGTTATCCTTGGCATAGAATGTAATGGACAAAGCATTGTAGTCTGCTATGTGAGGGCCTAAAGTTTTTAGCCAAGGTGCACAAAGAACCAAATCTGCATCTGTAATGAGTACCAAATACACTAGTAAGTGTAGTATGCTGCTTTGTATCATAACAGGCAAATCAGAGATGCAATTTTAGGTTCAGGGAGCTGGTTATTGTCATCCTCCTCAATTTGAAACAAGAAGTAATGACGATTTGGGCAATTGTGGTTGATGGAGAATTTGTTGTCACAATAGTAGAAAAGTCCCTTTACTGGGTTTGATTTAGTGGTTGGGTGGTTTAGGGTTCAGTAAGATAGGAGGGGCAGGTTGAGGTTGTGGATTAAGGTACGAGGACGGAAAATGGTAGGGTTTCAAAGTGGTCGGGGTTGGGGGTTTTGGTGGTTGTGGTGAATATTTGTTCTCAAAAAGTTTGGCAAGGGAGAAGACACGGGACAGGGATGATGGGGTTTGGGCTATGGCATATCTGTTGATATCGGGCTTAAGTCCACTTACAAAACATGCAAGAGTGGCTTCTCAAACTTTGGGCTCTATTGGCAAGCACAGTGAATGTGGACAAATTCTCAGCAACAATGTTTGTTTAGGTGAGTTTGAATAAGGCGGGTCGTGGGGATTCATATGGGGAAGACCCAAATCCAAGTTCCAAAGCCCTTGTGAATATGGCCCACGATTGAAAGGGCCGGTTGCGAGATATCATCTGAAACCATAGGACGTCTCTTTCCATGTGCACGGCAGCGATGGTCAGATAGTGAGCATCCAATGTCGCATGGTAATCAAAAAACTGTCCTGCCTGAAAAATCCAGTTCATCACCTCAGATCCATAAAAACGAGGGAAGTCCAGTTTGATTTTACGTACCTGTAAGAGCTGCTGCGATGAGTGCGACGACGGAACAGAGTTATTTCCACCCGGTAGTTGAGATGCATGAAGAGAGGTGAGTTGATGCTTGACCTATTCCATTAGAGCTTGGTCGATGTGACGATACTGCATATACTCGTTGTGTCGACGATCAGTTTCCTCCATGAACTTGGGTACAGTTTTGATGAGTTCAGCTATAGCGTTTCCATGCTCTTCATGCTAGTATTTTCAGCCATGGTAGAGAAAAATGAAAGCACCAAAAGTTATGTTTAGAGGAAACAGAAAACAATTGGGATGTGAAATGATGTGAATATTGTACTAGCCTTTTGTGATATAACAGTACAATCAGAGAAATGTGGAATTATTGCATGAAAAATGCTGTGAATCTGTTATTCCATTTGCCTCCGCGTCCCCACTCATAACACACAGTTCGAGTCTGATTGTTAGACATGTCTTCATCCTGAAATTAGAAGCTGTGCATTTGAGCTTTTACAAGTTAAAAAGTTCATAAGACGTTTTAATGATTTGTATATATGTAATTATGCTGCACTGCATTACATTTATTTATCTCAACTTTTCCTCTCAATCTGAAACACTGTAAACTGGCAAGATTATGCCTTTATTTGTTTATAAGTATTTTGGCTGTTACCCCCTGTTTTTTGTTTTATATGGCAGTCTTTTGATTTGGTTTTCTTATTTTACTTTTTGGGTGATTCAAGTTTTATAAATTAAAATAGAAATTTAACCGGTTATTCTTTTGATAACATACTTTGGAAATAGTTTTGATTTATTTTTGTTGTTTTATTTTAACTTATAAGATATGATATTTAATTTTGAGCAGCCACCTCTGTGGTCTGTAGTTGTACCACTTTGTCTGGCCTTCATTGCTTGTGGTACAGCACCTTTAGTGCTTGGTTGATGGGGTTGGTTTAGTCCCACATCGCTCAGTCATATGGCCTTTGCAATGCTTATAAGTCTAATCACATCATACAGGCCGGTTTTGTGGGGGTTGAGTTAGATCCTTAGCCTGAATTCTAAGATTGTAACTAAGCCTATATCAGATCAGTTGTTGGGTCCTCCCTGCATCGTCCACGCCACGCTTCAGGGAAATTGGGTATTGTTGTGAGCGTGTGTTGGAAAGTCCACCTTAATTGCGGCCAACCCTGCAGTTTATTATTGGGCGACTTTATTGCAACGGCACAACACCTTTAGTGTGTTGGGCTGAGGGAGTGAGCTTGGTCTCACACCACCTAAAGATACGACCTTTGCAGTGTGCTTAATGGTCTTTCCTAAGATTATTTTCCAAGATACATCTGCATGGAAGGATTTTGGTCCCTTTGCCTCCTCGAAAATTGGACCAAACAAGAAATTTTCAAAATAATCCCGGCCTTCCATTTCTCCCCAACGATACACTGCATAAGATTTTTTTTTTTGGTATAGCGATGATATATGCTATTGCAAATAAATGGAAACATTTTCGTGTATTTTTCAGATTTAGTTTTTGTGCTAAAGATGGAAGTTCTCAGACTAGATTCTGTAATGTTGCAGATATGTCATCTTCTGGTGTTGGTCTGAACTCAGGTAATGAGTTGCATACTTACATTGCTCAAAATGATGGTCACCAAATGCCAAATGACGTTAAAACACTCGGGTCTTCTTATGACCGCTACCTTCAGAATGCCGGGGTAATGTCACAACCCAATTTATTTTACATCTAATGTGTGTACATACACTATCACTGGTTGTTTGCTAAAAACTATCATCCTGTTTAATTGTGGAGCAGCTTACTTCAGGGGAAGCTAGTGTAATTGGTGGTGTTGGGTTGGCAAGGGCTGTTGGTGGAATGCCAGGCCATTCCCTAGGCAATCCATCTATCATGGGGCGTCCTGGTGGTGGCCCTGATCTTGCACGAAATGGGCATAATGTCAATTTCGGTGGTCAGTTACCTATGGGTGCAGTTTCCAGACCCAGACCCGAGACAATACCGCTACCCCCAGATGCTTCATGTACTTTATATGTTGAAGGGCTCCCGTCTGACAGCACAAAAAGAGAAGTGGCTCGTATCCTTTTTATTTTTTCTTTCTAAGATACGGACTATAAATTGTATTGTCATGCTTTCACCGGCTTCTCTTGGAATTCATTAATTTTTCTTCAATTATTCGTTTTCCTTAGTGTCTTATTTAGACATTTTTCGCCCTTTTGTCGGATATAGAGAAGTGAGACTTGTGACCAAAGAATCCAAACATGTAAGTGCAGTGTTTGCAACAGTTGTTTGCTTGTTTTCTTTTGTTTCAGATTGTTTACATGATTGGTCAAAAGTTCCATTGTGCTTTTTATGCTGAAATGCTTGCTTATTGCAGCGTGGCGGAGATCCTTTAATCCTTTGTTTTGTAGATTTTGTGAACCCGCCTTGTGCAGCCACTGCCATGAATGCCTTGCAAGGTATCACTTTTTTTACCTGCTGAGCTAAAAGGAAATTAATGCCATGTTCTGGCTATGCTAGTTGTCTAATAGGGAATCATCTATGCATAAGATAACTTGATCGAGCATGTGAAAATTGAACACCACCCTTGTGTTTTGTTGCTGAATCATGACGGGGTTGTAATAAGTTTTGAATGTTTACAGATCTTAGAATTGTGGTTGTACCTAATTATGTACCTATATTGTTATGTTTACTAACACTGGTCGGATTCCTCAGGTTATAAAGTTGATGAACATAATCCAGATTCAAGTTATTTGCGGCTGCAGTTTGCTCGGTCTCCCGGCCCTAGAAATGGGCCTGGACCTCGCGGTAAAAGGTGAACTGCGTCATCTAGGGCTTTTAGGTCATATGCGCGCATAGCCTAGACAGATTGAGACGAAACTACAATTGCATCTGTGCAAAACTAATATGGATATTTATGAGATGGTCATAGCCATTTACCTTGTTGTAAAAATATTTAGTATAAAATCGATCATTTTTGCTTTTTGTTGCTTAAATTATCGGTATAATTGTATCAGTTTTGTTTTATAGTTTTCAATAATATGGTAAGAATTTCATTCGACCTGGAGTTCAGCCTAAAAGATAAAACTACTATATGATGCCATAGTTCATGTATAACTCAGAATATGATGGCTGCTGAGAGAACTTGAGAAACAGATATGTGTTTCATTTCAACAACCCTGTGCTATTTTCATTAGGAATATTTGCTCCAAACTGATTAAGGATTGATATTTTAATCATGTTATAATTTGTTATGCATGAACCTATAATATTTTAAATATTGCTTTATTGACCTTAGGTTGATATTATTCATCTTCCAAAGAGAAAAAATAGGTTAGTTTCAACGGGAAATCAATCTAATCATAATCATAGAGCAACTGGTTTTCATATGAAGCGACATTAATTAGTGAGTTTTTAATTATTTTTCTTTCTGCTTTTATGCAAATTATTTTTAAATTGTTTTATACCAAATGTGCCATTAGTATTTTAACTATTATTATACATTTTAAAATATTAAAAAATGTTATTTTTTAATGCAAAAAATTGAAGGCTTTTTAATATAATCAACATTTTTATATGCAAGAATTTTCAGAATTTTGTTAGTATTAGTTAAAAATATAAACTATTTTTCATAAAATAAATGCTCTACTATTGTTTTTGAAATGTTATAATAAAATATTTACATGTTGCAAGTGGTTAGACAATGTGTTAATTTTTAATTATTTTAGCTGATTCTGCCTTTGGATCAAGATCTCTAACTTATGTCTTTTCTAAATAATTCATATACTGTTTTTAAGCCATCAAAATAGTTCCTGAACTATTATTGTCTCCCTTACTTTTAAAGCAAATGAAGGACAAACTTTTTAAATTAACAATAATTTATTGACTATCAGTCTATTCTATTAGTTTAGAAACCAAATTAGAGAAAGAGAGTGATGGTTTATGGATCAAATGGCATATTCTTAGAAGAAATTGGTGGGACATAGTCAAGAAAAATCAAAAGTTATTATTTTGAAGATTGAACATCATGCACATGCACTGACATGTGAATTGGGACCATCTGGTATGAATGATAGCATTGTAGTAAAATGGATTCTCTCTTCCATGCACACTCTCAAATTATAAAATGAGTATTATTATTTGAATATTTAAATATCGACACTGAATTTTAACACGATATAAAAATATATAATTTTATTAAATTTTGTAGTTAATATTCTTCTGATCCTATTTATAAAAAAATTATTTTTTAAATTTATTAAATAATTAAATAATTAAATAATTAATATATTTTATTTATATATTGTTCAATATATTAATAATTTAATGTACTTAAAAAAATAATTTTTTTTCTTAAAATAGTACTAAAGAAGAGGAGTCATTTTTTATAGTAAAAATTGCTTCAAAATTATAAATACATATTATTATAATAGTACTATATTGTTTTTAAATCAAAACAATTTTTTACATCATAAACATACGTAGGAAAAATGAATTTGATTAAATTTTGAAGGTAATAATTATTTATAGTAAAAATTGGTTTATATCAGCATCAAAGGAGTATATGAATCTGACTTTTCTACATTCTTTTAGACCACTTAAGGTCATGCAGGGTCCATTCTGTTTCTCTTGCGTACAAGACTAATCAAACCAAATAATAGCATATCAGTAATTATTGCTGTCAGAAATAAATACTGACATTTTTTTATTGCAAAATAACTTGATATTAATATTCACCAAACTACACGAAATTCCAATTAAAGTTTACAGGGATGAAATAAATTCAATGATGGCAACTAGAGAAAAAAACATTAATACCCCAAATGATCATAAAAAAGACTAAATTCAAAAAGTGGAAAGTGCAAATTCCTAAAAACTTTACTCAAGTTGAAAATCTTTGCGATCCTTTTGCGTCATTTGTATAGTTGGTAGATGACTTTTCTTCTCAATTTGTATATAATTTTCATTTTCATAACAAAGCAAAATTAATTAATTAATTATTATTCATTTTTTGTACCTTGTCCTTGCATTAGGAGAAGATCAGATTATGTTTTTTTCTCATTCGTTGAGGAAATTACAGTGGGGTCTACCTTTAATTCTACTAGTATTTGTATTTTTGTTCTATTGTTCCTATTTAACTCCAACTTGATCTTAATCTATTGCTTCATAATTAATTTCATTTTCATTAGTAATTATGTAAAATTATATGCCTACTAAATTCAATAGTATTGGATATAAGGTTGTATTGGAAAAACTAAGTTCAATCAATTTTGATCTTCAACCATTTATATTCATACATCAAACCTATTAATTTTGGGCATGATGGGGTGGATATATTAGAAAAATTTAAAGTATTGGTTAAAGATAAAATATAATAAATATTTATATTAAAAGAACTCTTTCATTATACAGATTAATTTTATAAAATGAGTTAGATTAAAATCTGTAATAAATTATATTCAGTTGTGTAACATTAGTAATTTGGCTATACAATATGAATAATTTTATATCGGGTATGTTCAAAAACTACGATGTCTAAATCGTTTATAAATTTTATGAAATTGAGAAAAAAAATACTATCAAATTGCAAAGTAATATTCCATATTTTAAATTTTTAAATATAAATTAATAATTGTTGTGTTTTAAATTTTTTTCCCACATTTTTACCATTGACACATATAATGTGTCCGTTCAAGGGACTATCATACTTATGTAGAAATCAAATATCGACCATTAATTTAAGATCAAATAATTTAAAGTTGAAACACAATTTCATGCAACTTTTTTTTATAAAATTAATTTTAATTAAAAACGATCTATTATATCGTCATACTAGAAAATTCAATTCCACATCCAAGATAGTATGAATACTCTATCTTTAGTAGGAATTATGTCTTGGATGACACAATTATGATTATTGAAAGGCAACAATGATGATATTTCTCAAATCCACGGGCAACAAAGAGGGAAAGTTGTGATAAAAGGATGGAAACATCCAATGATCACTTCTGAAAATGGAACTCCGAGCTTAAAATCAAAAGTTGAATGGACAAATGCTAAAGATGAGGAAGCTCTTGGAAACTCCAAGGCTTTGAATGTTATCTTCAATGGTGTGGAAAAAAAACGTGTTAAGAAGTAAATGAAGTTTTGGGAGATTCTCAAAACTACGCATGAAGGCACATCCAAAGTTTGTATATCAAGGTTGCAACTTCTTACCACTAAGTTTGAGAATCTGAAAATGGCTGAAGAAGAATCAATCTGTGATTTTCACACCAGATTGTATGATATTGCCAACACATCCTTTGTCTTAGGTGAAAAGATGTCTAAAGAAAAACTTGCCAAATTTTTTTTCAAATCATTATCTAAGAGGTTTGATATGAAAGTTACTGTTATTGAATAAGCTTAAAACTTGATTAGTATAAAGGTTGATGAACTCGTTAGTTCCTTGCAAACCTTTGAGATGTCCATTAATGAAAGGTATGAAAAGAAGAACAAATGGATATCCTTTGTTTCCAATACTGAAGAAAGTTAATGGGACATAGAAGATAAGTTGTTAGATGATATAGATCTCATGAGTAAAAGGTTCAACAATTCCTAAAATTTTAACAGAAAGTGGAGTACAAATGTCCAAGATGAAAAGTCTGACATCAGTCCCTAGAACAAAGTCAGGATTGAACACAAACCCAATGATAGCAAGGGTACTCCGTGCTTTATGTGTGAAGGATTTGGACACGTTAAATTTGAATGTTCTTTTTTTCTAAAGAAATATAAAAGGGGACTTTCCACCACGTGGCCTGATTCTGAAAGTGAGGAAGAAACTGCCAATATTGGGATGGCTTATTCAGGTCAATATGAATCTGATGATGAATCTGGTACTGAAGAAGAAGATCTTGATTCATACTAGCTTATACTCTCCAAATGGAAAGAAACATTCTTAACCATAGATAATTAGAAGAAAACAACAAGAGTGATCCAGGAGGAAACACATGAGCTTGCCTCAACCATTGCATGCATAGAGAATGAGACTTCATCGCTAAACTCCCAACTAGAAAATAAGTCCCATTATGAAAATAATTTGATTCATAGGTCAAGTTTACTTGATAATTTTTGTGTGTGTGAGTTATCCAGAGATGTGAAGGGAATAGTTGATGGGACGAAGATGACCGGTAAAAACAAGAAGATTCTCCCAATGAAGGTTGTTATTCCTAAAGGAAAGACTGAGGTTCTGAGGTTGGACCACATGTCACAACATCGTACTCAACATGTGGTACCCCATCATAGGAAGGATAAGAAACAACCTCTGATATGTCATCACTATGATAAATATGGACATACAAGGCCTTATTATTTTGAATGGCTTAAGTTAAAGGTCAGAGGTTGCAAGGAGGTCCATGCTGAGAAGTAGTGGAAATCCAATGCTTCATTAACTAGCTCCGGAGCTCATACAAAACACAGAGGTTCCTGAAGGAAAAAATGGCATGGTAATAATTAGGGTACCATGCACATGGCTAGAGATAAGAAAAATCATGGCAATCGAGTAAAAGGAAGAATTAAGGGCGCAAGGAAATTAGTTAACCCCAATCAGAAAGAGGTTCCACTGGGAAAAGGCTTATCTACAAACGTGAATCAATTGTGTATTCAAAGGAGGAATATGAACTTCAAGAATTCCAAAGTTGATGTAACCAACAAGGATAAAGAAGTTCTTTTGAAGAAGTCCATATCTGGAAAAAAAGACATAAGGAGTTTGGAAGATCTTAGGAATAATATAGCTAATTTGCATGAAGAATAAAGGTCAATCAAGATGTCAGAGCAGATGTTC